CCTCAGGGTGGTGGGGGGGGTAAAGAAAGACTCCAGCTTTCCTATCAAGAAGGTCTTCTGTTTTATTTGTCCTGTTTGCACCCATAAATTAATTAGTTAGTTAATTAATTAATTAATTAATTAATTAATTAATTAATTAATTAGTTTATTATTTATTTATTTATTTATTTATTTGTTTATTAATCCCAACCGCCCACCCCAAAACCCCAAACCCTAGCCCGCACCCGCACCCGCACGTGACCCGAAAACCCTAAACCCTAAACCCTAAACCCTAAACCCTAAACCCTAAACCCTCACTTGCAGATGTGGAGGGTGACCCTGTGGCTGAAGTAGCAGGTGCAGAGGGCCGTGGTTCCTTCCACTAAATCAATTCTCGCCAAAGACCCCACAATTAGGGTTTGGCCTTTTTTGAGGGGATAAGTTAAGGGCTGCATGCGTTTTGTGGGCACTACTGAGAAAAGGTCAAACCCTCGACGCAGCAAACCCGTCACCTGCAACCCAAACCCTAAACCCTAAACCCTAAACCCTAAACCCTAAACCCTCGACCCTGAACATGGTCTCTAACCCCGGAATCCTAAACCCTGATCCCTCATCCCTGAACCTGGCCACAAGCCGCTAGTCCCAAACCCTAAACCCTAAACCCTAAACCCTAAATCCTAGCCCCGAACTCGTAAACCCTAATCTCTAGCCCCTGGACGCTAAACCCCGATCCATAATCCCCGAGCCCTGGCCCCAAGCCGCCAGTGCCAAACCCCAAGCCCAAACCCCAAACCCTAAACCCTAAACCCTAAACCCTAAACCCTAAACCCTCACCTGGTGCTCCGAAGGCACCCCGGGAGTGTCGATAAGTTTGAAACCCTTGGGAAGTCCAAAAGGCAAAATGTCCAAAGTGGTTCCTGGAAGAGGAGACCTCGTGGCGCCTCCCACTGCGCGCTTCAGGTGCAGAGTCCCGAAGTGCCTGCATGCACACGCTGCTGCTGCTGCTGCTGCTGCTGCTGCTGCTGCTGCTGCTGCTGCTGCTGCTGCGGTGCTGCTGCTGCTGTGGTGCCGCTGCTGCTGCTCGGCTTCTTGATCAGGGGCTTCCTTGGAAGGGTTTAGAGAACTATTGGGAATTTCGTGCTGCTGCTGCAGTTTTATTTACTTTATTTTAAATGGTTCAGCCCTATAGTTAGGCTTTCTGCTGCCTCGCGTGTTTGTGGGGAATAAATAGCTGCTGCGCTTAGCTGCCTCTCTAGTGGCTGCTTTAAGCAGCAGCAGCAGCAGCAGCAGCAGCAGCAGCAGCAGCAGCAGCAGCAGCAGCAACAGCAGCAGCAAAATAGCCAGCAGCAGCAGCACTGGGCAGAAGCAGCAGCAAGACCCGCACGAGCAGCAACGCAAGCAGCACTGCCACCCACTCCACCACCATAACCACACCCACCACCATCACCAGCAGCAGCAGCAGCAGCAGCAGCAGCAGCAACTGCAGCAGCAGCAGCAGCAGCAGCAGCTGACTTGTATCCGACGAATTTGAGGAACCTGTTGACGAAGGTCGACTTGCCCGAGTTGACTCTGCCCACAACGAAGATGAAGCGCCCCTGCTGCTGTTGCTGCTGCTGCTGCTGCTGCTGCTGCTGCGCGTCTTCATATGCGTCTGCTGCCGTTGCGAGCGTGCCGCCGCCTGCTGCTGCTGCGTCGCCTGCTGCTGCTGCTGCTGCTGCTGCTGCTGCTGCGCGGGGCCGCAGCCGCGGAGTGTCTTCAGACAAAATCTCTCCAATGCGGCGCTCCAAAGTGTCAAAGCCGAAACCTGAAAAAAAACATTTTTATTTTAGTGCAGCAAATTAATTAATTTAATTACTTTTTAATCCAAAATACAAATCTTGATATCAATTACTTTTAATTCAAAGTATAAGTCTTGAAATAAATTACTTTTTAACTCAAAATATAAATTATAAAGCAGAAATTAATAATTTTTAATTTGAAATATAAATCTTGGAGCAGAAATGAAGGCCTTAAGTGCAGCAAATAAAGCACCTTTTTAATTCAAATAGTAAATCTCAACGTTGCAAACGAAAATAAAAATAAATTATGTATAATATATATTATAAATTAATTATATTTTATATATAATTTATAATATATAATAATATAATATGTAATATAATATGTAATAATATGTGTAGTATATATGATATATATATATACTACACATATTATTACATATTATATGTGTTATACATTGTTATATATAACATATTTATTATATATGTTATGTATATTATATTTATTACAAATATCATTTATATTATATTTATTATTTGCATTACACAAACATTTGCAGCAGCAAAGAAGTAAAATGAAATGAACCATTTGCTGCAGCAAAGAAGCAAAATGAATGGACCATTTGTTGCAGCAAAGAAGCAAAATGAAATGGACCAGCTGCTGCAGCAGCAAGAGCGAAGCAGAATGGACCACTGGTCTGCAGCAAGAGCCAGTGGAGTGGACCAATGGTCTCACCAGTGGCTGCAGAAATCAACACGCAGTCGTCAATGTGCACATTGCGAATTTGCCGGACCATTCGCCGCACCCACTGCCGCACTCTGAAACGAACAGCCACTCAGCTGTACGTACACCTCAACCAGGTGTACATACACCTCAACCAGCTGTACGTACACCTCAACCAGCTGTACGTACACCTCATTCAGGTGTGCGTACACCTCAACCAGCTGTACGTACACCTCAACCAGCTGTACGTACACCTCATTCAGGAGTACGTACACCTCATTCAGGTGTACGTACACCTCAACCAGCTGTACGTACACCTCATTCAGGTGTACGTACACCTCATTCAGCTGTACGTACACTTCAGCCAGGTGTATATACCTAAACCCTGCACCCAGCCCCAAACCCTAAACCCTTTACCCACCCCCAAACCCTAAACCCTGCGCCCAGCCCCAAACCCTAAACCCTTTACCCAGCCCCAAAGCCTAAGCCCTGCGCCCAGCCGCAAACCCTAAACCCGCACCCAGCTCCAAACCCTAAACCCTAAACCCTAAACCCTCGGGCTTGCTGACTCGTTGAGGTCCGCGTCTCGGGGGAGGCAGTCGACTCTGTTGAGGGCCCACAAAACCCTCAAACCCTTTTGTCTGCAGCTTTCGAAAAGCTCCGGAACCACCGAAGCCTCCAAGTCGCAAATATCCACAAGTTTAATTACGAGAGAACTTCGCGGCATTTTGCAAACCACTTTCGAAACCACCGAAGAAACTGACAAACCCTCAAAACCCTCCAAACGCCTCCAAACCCCCGACTCCCACCCAACGTCGATGCTGCGGTAGTGCTGCGGCCCACACCCGCACGCAGGGTTTAGGGTTTAGGGTTTAGGGTTTAGGGTTTAGGGTTTAGGGTTTAGGGTTTAGGGTTTGGGGGAGGCGGATGCGTCTGTCGGGCGCTTGCGCGTGGGCACAGCGGGAAAGGCTCAGTTCGCTGATGCGCGGAATCTAGGGTTTAGGGTTTAGGGTTTGGGATTTAGCGCTAGGGTTTAGGGTTTGGGATTCGGCACGAGGGTTTAGGGTTTGAGGGAATTGCCTGTATTCTGTAGCACCGCTGGCAAGTCAGGAGAGAAGTGCGGACGCGAAATTTGGGCGAGTTTTGCTGCATGCGCACAAACTCAGGCTTAAGGGTTTAGTGTTAAGGGTTTAGGGTTTAGGGGCTAGGGTTTAGGGTTTAGCGGCTAGGGTTTAGGGTTTAGCGGCTAGGGTTTAGGGTTTAGGGTTTAGGGTTGGGCTTGCCTGCAGGACTTCCACTCCGTCTGGCACACATTCCACAGCCTCTCCACGAGGCTTGGGCAGCCTTTTCACCCGGCCACCTGAGACAAGCCAGTCTAAACCCTAAACCCTAAACCCTAAACCCTAAACCCTAAACCCTAGGGGCTAAATTTCAAATCCCCTAAACCCTGAGCCTTGCAGCTTGATCCCCAAAGCGCAGGCGTTGAATTCTGGGCCTCCAGCTCCTAAGCCGCAGCCGCTGAACCCCAAACCCTAAACCCTAAACCCCAAACCCTAAACCCCAAAGCCCAAACCCTAAACCCTAAACCCCCGCGCGCACCGGAATACTCCTCGAACTTGCTCTTGGGAACAAAGCCAACTGCTGCAGCATCTTCTGTCTGCAGTGGGGCCCCACACCCCGAGCAGCGCGTGGGTTGCATGCGGTCGGTCTGCAGCGAACGCATGCGCTGAGGTGTACGTACACCTCGCGGCCCCAGGTGTACGTACACCCCGCGACGGCGCGTGCGGGCCGCCGCGAAGGGCTAATTCAAAACTTTCATTTACTCACTAAATTCAAAACTTTCATTTATTCATTTTCGAGCATTTTAGAAGTTCAAAGACTTTGCAAATGCACAAAAAGACTTGCAAATGATTCAACAAACGCCGGAGGCAGCAGCAAAGAGTTCTCGAGAAGTGCAAACAGACACAAAGGGTATAAATGCATTTAGGGTTTAAGCAACTAATTCTTTTTAAAAGAATGAATTAAGTTGATTCTTTTAAAAAGAGTATTTGCAAGTGTTTGTGGCTGCAAACAAAACGCGAAAACTCGAAAAACGAAAGTGTGAAAAATGCAGACAGAACGAGGTGTCTGTACACCCCAACCCACCCAAAACAGATCCGTCGTGATGCCCGTGAGACTCTTTCGATCATTTTCTTTTTCTTTTTCCAAAGTGCATGCACTTGGCCCCTCAGAACTCAAATGGCGAACAGAAAAACGCAAAAGAGACAAAAAATAACTGCAATTAGACTGAACTCCCGGGCCAACAGACCTCCCCAAAACAGGAGTGAGGAAAGTGCTCCTTGGGGGCCCCCAAGAAGCCTTGAGGGGCCCCTGGGAGCCCCCCTGGGGGCCCCCCGCAGCTCTTGGGGGGCCCCTAGGAGGGGCCCCCAGCGCTGCTTCCGGGGCCCCTCCTGGTGGGCCTTCAGGGCAGCCCACGGGGGGCCCTAGACGGCATTTGGGGCCCCTAAAGAAAAGGCCTAATGCCCTAAATGAGGGTATTGGCTTTGGGGGCCTCAGGGGGCCCCGGCTGTTTCTGTGGGCAGCGGCGGCCAGCGAGCGAAACTTCGTGCGCGGAGTCAGCGGGAGAAACATTGGTGTTTGAGAGTTTAAAATCCGTTTTCTGCATCCGTAATGCTTTTAATTTGAAAATTAAAATTAAATAAAAAAGAAAAAAAGATTTTTGGACGAAAAATGCGAACTTTAGTGACGGGAAGTTCACACGGGCAGGGAGGTGACCGTCGATTCAGATTCTTGAAAAGTAGAAGAGAACGCAGCTGCGCATCTAGTGATCCATTCTTTAATTTAATTTTCAAAAAATAAACATTTAATTTCCCTGTTTTATAATGAAAAAATAGAAATGAAACGCTGGCGAACAGGGGCCCCTCCGACGAAATTGCCGCAGGGAAGTGAGCTGTCTGTACACCTCAGAACGCGGGGATTTCAAGTCCTCAGTTTGAGCTTTAGAAGTTCAGAATATTATCCTCACTTCATTTTATTTCCTGTTTAATACCTCCCACCCGAGGACTTCACACTGTGAGCCCACTGGGGCCCCCAGTGGGCCCCAAGGCCCCCAAGTGAGAGGCCCCCCGTGGCTGTAGGGGCCCCTTTGGGGCCCCCAGGGGCCCCTACCCTTCTTTTGCTCAAGTGTTACAATTTTGAAATGTGGCTGTGGGTGGCTGGCTGCAGCAAATGTTTCTTGTTGCTGAGAGCCAGCTCGCCTGTAAACCCTAACCCTAAAACCCTAGCAAATGTGGGGATAATGAGGGTTTAGGGTTTAGCTTTAACCTCCGATATTCTAGGGTTTGGGGCAACTAAAAGGCATTTTAATACAATTGAAATAAATGCCGTCCAGGGATGAAGCTTACTGTGTTCATCTTGAGGGTTTAGAGCGCTTCAAACCCCCAAACCCTAGCCCCACTAAAATTCCCAGGGTTTCCTTTGGGGCTAGCACTAGGGTTTAGGACTGGGGTTTGCAGCTAGGGTTTAGGGTTTAGGGTTTGGCAAATGCGTGGCGACAGGGGGCGCCTCCCACGGAGCCAGCAGCCACCGGCCAGGCAACGGAAATTTGCGCTTCAGGGTTTAGGGTTTAGGGTTTAGGGTCTAGGGTTTGGGAGCCCCCAAAAGCCCCAAAAGGACAAAGTGGCGGGAGCGCATGCAGTGAAGCAGCAAAATAGAATAAAAGGAGCAGCAAAAGAGATTAAATGAAATGTTTGGTCGGGTCTAGTGAAGTGCAGCAGCTGCGCGTTGGGCTGTCTGTACACTTGCGAAGGAGGTTTAGGGTTTAGGGTTTAGGGTTTAGGGTTTCCTTCTGCTTGCGGGGTTAGGTGGAAATGCTCAGAAGCGGTTTTGTGCAGCAAAACGCATGCAGTGCTGCTGCATCCCTGAGCAGCAAAAGTTTGGGAGAAGGAGCAGCAGCAACTCCTCGAAGTTTCGTTTCGAATTATAAAAAAAAAAAGTGAAGTGAAGGCTCTCGGGCGGCTGGGGAGAGCACTGGCGGTGCGGGCAGCTGGAGTGTACATACACCCCAGCTGTACGTACACCCCAGCTGTACGTACACCGCAGCTGCAGGTACACCGCAGCTGTACGTACACCCCAGCTGTACGTACACACCCCAGCTGTACGTACACCGCAGCTGTACGTACACCGCAGCTGCAGGTACACCGCAGCTGCAGGTACACCCCAGCTGCAGGTACACCCCAGCTGCAGGTACACCCCAGCTGCAGGTACACCCAGCTGTACATACACCGCAGCTGCACATACACCGCAGCTGTACGTACACCGCAGCTGTACGTACACCGCAGCTGTACGTACACCGCAGCTGTACGTACACCGCAGCTGCAGGGAGAGCGGGGGCTAGTGGAGCTGCTGCCAGAGCTGCAGCAGCCGCTGCGGACTGACAGGGTGGACAGCGAGGAAGTTTTGGAAAGCGGCGAAGTCTTCGGAGTCTGCGGCGTAGAGGCTGATGGGGGCCCCCGGGCCAGTGGCCTCGAGGGGGGCCCCCAGGGCCTCCAAAAGGGCCCCCACGAAGCAGTCCTCGTTGCTCAGCAGCGGCTGCCAGGGGGCCCCCCGGGCCAGGAGGGCCCCCAACTCCCCCGAAAGAATGTAGAGGGGCCCCGCAGGGTACGGGGGGTAGTGGGCCCTGTGGGGCAGCAGCGCGGGGTCTTGGTAGTTGCGGTGGGTGGGGTCGGTGATGAGGGGGGCCCCCCTGCGGGGGGCCCCCGCGGCCAGGGGGGCCCCCCGTTTGGCCTCCAGGAAAGCCACCAGCTTCTCCAAGTTGAGGTAAATGTCTGCGTCGGCCTTCACCAAAAAAGCTGCTTCTTTGCAGAAGTTTGCGGCCCACTGCAGCGCAGCTTTGGTCTTGTGCGTCAGCAGCCGGTAGCTGTCGGGCGCAGCAAGCTGGAGGATGTCTCCGTGTTGCTGCGCCTCGCTGCTGAGTTGCTGCAGCAGCAGCAGCAGCAGCAGCAGCAGCAGACACCGACCCCACCACGAAAAACACACGCACTCGCCGCCCCCTCACCACACCCTCGCCACCCCAAGTCCCCCGCACTGCAGCACGAGCTTCCCAGGCCCCAGGGGCTGTCAGCACCAGCACTGCAGCAAACGGGGGGTCTTTGCTGCAGCTGCTGCTGGGCTGCAGCAGCAGCGGCCACTGCGTCTGCACGGGCAGCGACAGCAGCGCAGCAGGAGCTGCTGCTGCTGGCCACTGCCAGCCCCAGCCCTCGCTCGCCAAACTCAGCAGCAGCAAAACCACCAGCAGCAGCAGCAGCAGCCACTGCGCCCTCACAAACTCCCCCGCCGTCCCGTAAACCTCCTCTTGCCCCGAGCCCTGCACAAGCACAAAGCCGACTGCCTTTCCGGGGCTAGGGTTTAGGGTTTAGGGTTTAGGGTTTAGGGTTTAGGGTTTAGGGTTTAGGGTTTAGGGTTTAGGGTTTGGGGTGTTCAACTGAGGCTCAGGCGCTCAAACTAGTGAACTTTGAATTTTCTACTTTAAGTGGCATGCTTCGTGCATTATTACTGAGCCTGCCTTTCCGGGGCTAGGGTTTAGGGTTTAGGGTTTAGGGTTTAGGGTTTAGGGTTTAGGGTTTAGGGCTTGAAACAGGGGCTGGGGAGCTGAAACTGGTGAAAATCTACATACTGAAAGTCGAATTTTCTATTTTGAATTAATCACTTTATGCAATATGTAATGATCATGTGAAGACAAGCAAATGTGTCCGAGAAGCCACTAGTCTGCCAACGCGTCCAAACTGGCGAATTAGGGTTTAGGGTTTAGGGTTTAGGGTTTAGGGTTTAGTTGACTTTCGGCGGTGTTCTCTCGAGGTCCGGGGCAGCGATGCAGCTGCTGTTGGGCGAAGAGGTTTGCGTTTCCAAGTCTTCGAAATATTCTTTTAATTCGAAATTAATTGAAAATTCGGAGTTTTCCATTTCAGCGCAAAACCCTAAAGCCCCGCCGCGAAACCCTAAACCCTAGGCCCAAAACCCTAAACCCTAGGCGCAAAACCCTGAACCCTGAAGGGCTCTGGTCACAGCCTGCTGCTTCGCTGCTGCTGCTTTCCCCGCGATCTCGTGGCCAAGGAGTTCATAATAATAAATTCAAAAGTTTAAGTTCGAAAAATAATTCAAAAAAAGTGGAGTTGCTGGAAATTCCGACCAGTGCGCGCTGCAGAACACTGTTGAATCGAACTGCACGGCCGACTGGCTGTCCCGGGAAAGCTGGCGGAAATCTCTCGCAGCCGAAGTTTTATTTAAAAGTAAATTTTAATATTTCAAAATCAGAAAAGAGAAACGAAGTTCAAGTCTTCAGAGGGCGGAGCCGACAGACCCAGCACCGACAAACCACTGCCGCGGCGCCTCGGCCGAAGGCGACCCGTCGTGCAGCGAAAGCGCCGCCAAAGAACAAAACCCTAATTTTAAAATGACAAATTTATAAATGCTGCGAAGTTCGCAAAAAAGAATTATAAATGTGCAACGAGCAGCTCCTGTGGCTGGCTTCTCCGCCGACTGTAGCAGCGAGGCCGCGCGAACGCGATAATCTGAGGTGTACATACACCCGAAAATTCGGGAACCCCTCGAAGTTCAACCAGTTTTATTCATATCAGAAGAATATAAAGGAAATTTTTCGACTAAGTGCCTCGCTGTGCATGCATGCGGCGACAAATGTGCTCTGGGAGGACAGCTAGGGCTTGGGGTTCACGCCAGAGCGTTAACAGATCTTCAGTGTTCATGCCTTTCCCTCTCCGGAAATAAATCCCCACTTTCAAATTCTTAATTTTTATCTCATTTATTATTTTTCAACTCCAGTTGAACTTCCCTCTGAGTCTGCAACAAGCTCGAGAGCAGCAAGCGGCTTGCGCGGGCAAGCCACGCCTCCGCGCCTTCCAAACCCTAAACCCTAAACGAAACCCTAAACCCTAAACCCTAAACCCTAAACCCTAAACCCTAACCACCACTGCATTCCTTCTAAATCCCAAACCACAAAGGAGAGATATTTACTTCTGCAGAACCTCCTGAATGGCTGTGCATGCCAACGCGGTGTCTGTACACGAATGCACACCCGCTGTACGTGTGTGTTGTAGCCGTATCTGCCCATAGAGGCCTCATTACTTTTATTTTTTAAATATATATTTACTTTCAATTACGTTTTACAGATCAGATATTGAATATTAGATTTTAAATGAGAGTTGCTGCTCTTAAGAACCTGCTGTGGCTAAGAACGCAGCAGTTGAAAGCAGACACTCCAGATATTCTTCTGGAATTTTTTAATTCATTTTTGTTTAATTCAAAAGTTATATTCGAAACTCGTCTTGCCCATTGTTGACAGCCGCAGCAGTCCCCTCACTTCAACTGCAGCAGCACAAACGCCCCTGTGCTGCTGCTGCTGCTTTTGCTGCTGCTGCTGCTGCTTTTGCTGCTGCTGCTGCTGCTTTTGCTGCTGCTGCACTTACTACTGCTCCAGCGTTTAAGGCGAATAGAACTCTTGCAGCAAAAGGGAAGGGCGTGGCTGGCAGCCGCCACTCTGCAGCACTTTAAAACCACGGAATTGTTTATTTTTCAGAAAGCACAAATGATTTATTATTGTTTTATTATTTCTTGAATTTTATTAAAAGTATTTTCGCCCATTCAAATGTGCGGCATTTCCGCTTTCTAGAACCGGCAGCAGTTCTCCAGGGCAACGCCAACTTGCGCGGTGGTTTAGGGTTTAGGGTTTAGGGTTTAGGGTTTAGGGTTTCGGGCTTGAGCTCTGAGGTTTAGAGTCTAGTTTTTACGACGGTGGTCCGGAGTTTAGGGTTTAGGGTTTAGGGTTTAGGGTTCAGGGTTTGGGGCTTGGGCTTTGAGTCTTAGGGCTGTGGGCTACAGGCTTCCTGCTGTGTCTTTTCAAGAAGCTGCACTTTTGCAATAAATTCAAAATTGCAATAATGAAGAAATACAAATCTGATTCAATTTGCATTTGTTAAACACGAAAAAGCAATTATGGAATGAAAAGTGGAATTTTAAATTAAAAAAGAAATCAAAATAAAGCAAACAGATAAAATCCGAAACTTTCAAAGCCCTTGAAGAATTCAATAATTTCAAAATCTGCAAAAAGTGCCTTTAATGAACTGAAAACAAAAGTGGAAAACTATTCAGCTTTCACTCCCGTCTGTGTTCATGGGTTTTGTGGCTGCTGTAGAAGAAGAACTGGATTGTTATGAGGACGCATGCAGCAGCAGCAGCAGCAGCAGCAGCAGCAGCAGCAGCAGCAGCAGCAGCAAACCGTAGAAGGAAACCTGCTGCAGCCAGATGCTCTTTCGCTGTTTCCTTGCTGCTAACTAGTGGGACTCAGCCTGTTTCTTCAGGCCTGGGGTTGGACGTGTCTGGGCGGAGATTATGGTTTAGGGTTTAGGGTTTAGGGTTTAGGGTTTAGGGTTTGGTGCGCTTTGCCGTCGCGTCAAGTTGAAATCAGGAACCGTTGCATGGCCCACTCTGCAGGCAGCTGTGCGAAAGTTCTGATTCAACTGGCGAATTAATCATTTAGCTTTCTTTTTTTCTTTTTTACTTTATTTAATTTTAAATTGCTTTCTTTTTGTCGGCTTTTTTCACTTTTCAAGTTGCTTCCCGTGAGGTATTTCCCCTGCAGTGAAGCCTCGCCGCCGGTGAGGTCGGCGCGGTGAACACCGCAGCAAATAATGGCTTTTGAGAAACTAAAAAATCTCCAAGACTTTCTTTTTGCTGTTTTAAGTTGTTGATTTATTCAATACATGTTCTAGAGCTGGAAATAAGGGTCTGTTCTCTGTGGTTCAACTGCAAACGTTGCCGGTGACGGAGTGGAAGACCTGGTGTTGCGTTGGCGCGGCGTGCTGCTGATCCTGTCCTTAGCGTTTGATTTAAAGTTGTTAAATGCATTTTAAAATGAAAATTGAATTCATTAAAGCACATAAAGGTGCAGCGAGACAGCTGCAAGACTGCCTAACAACACGTGAACAGATCATTCGCCACCAGCATGCGCTGCAACACAGCACTTGAGGTTTCTTCGCTGCGCAGGAGCCACTCTGCTCACTTCGGGCTAACTTTTGGCTTTTTTATTCAATGTTTTGCATTTAATATTGAATTCCAAAGTGTGTTATCGGCGTAAATGCCGGCGGAGTCTGCAGCACGTCGGCTCAGGACCAGCCACAGGACGGCACAGCTTTCCGCCTCGGGTTTCCAGCGAAGGATTGACTTCTCCCTTTACTCCATTTCGCCTTTTTAAATGAATGAAACTCAACTTAGTCTGCACACTGCTGTGCCGGCTTTGGTGCTGACGGCTCGCGAAAGCGGCGGCGCGGGCCGCCCACAGCCGCACATCGCCGGCGCCGCTGAACATTCATCTTTTCGAAAAGTTGAACAAGTTAGAAGTTTGGAACTTCTGGAGGCTCTCAAGGGCAGTTTGTTTGGCCCACGGAACGCAGTTTTGCACTTGTGTGTCGAGCCTTGAAGGCAAGTCGCAAGCATTTCAACAAACTGCTGAATAGCCTGAGACCTCGAGCAGCAGCAGCAAGTCTTGCTGCGCTGCACTGCCTGCGTTGCAGCTGCGCTGCTGCTCGAACTGCCACTTCAGCCAGCCGCGTGGCCCAGTGCATCTCAGGGGGTCTTGCTGCTCGCCGTGGAGTTGAAAAGATAAATATTTGCAATTAAATGCTGTTTTTTGCACTCTTTTTCACTTTTTCTGTTTGCAGCTGCTTTGCAAGTCTGCTTTCGATGGCGCCCTTCTTGAAAATCAGCAACATGGAGGCCGCCGCCGACGGAAGTCCGCCGGAAGGCGGAGGGGGCGGCGACTCGCCCAGCGAGGTGTACGTACACATTTCGCCTCCCCACGAGCAGCGGAAGCAACCAGCTGTGAGTCAGTTTTATCTTTTTGGCGGAAGCTGCCCAGAGATTCTGCAGAGGCTGTCTTCCCGCTGCCCGCAAGTGCCTTCTGAACGCGCGTGCATGAACGCCCCTTAAATAGAGAGAAGTCTATTAAATGCCACGAATTTGAAAATCTCACTTTGTCACACTTTAGCTTTCTTGCTTCAGTTAGGTGAAAACTTATCCGCTAAAGAACGCAAAATGCTCATACTGCCATATTCATGTTGGCACTGTTACAGAGCCCATGGGCTGTGGCGGCAGCGCCACAAGGCTCTAGATAGTCCTCTGCAGCGTTGTTGTTTTATATTTTCAAGTTTATTTCAAAGTTTTAAAGTTTTCTGTTTCTTGAAGCAGAGGCGCATTTGCTGCGTGTGCTGCTGCTGCTGCTCAGAACTTGAACCTGCAGCGCCCCGCGAAGCAGCCGACGCCGTGGTGGGTGGTGTTGCGTCACGCGTTTTACTCGCTGTTGTTTGCTTCTGCATTGCTGATTTATATAATAGTGTCGAGAGCGTGTTCGTGGGAGTGGAAAGGGGAGCCGCAGGCGCCGCTGCTGTCGCTGCCGCTGAAGACTCAGTGGGAACTGCTGATCACCCCCAAAGTCAGCTGCGCCGAAGACCCCCCTTTCGTGGCTTTGATGGCAATGACGGGGCCCGCAGACTTCGACGGCCGCCAACTCGTGCGAAACACTTGGGGGGGGGCCGAAATGGCTGCAGAGCGGCGGGTGCGGCTGTTTTTCTTGCTGGGCACTGCGCCCGGGGTGGAGCTGCAGCGCCTGGTGGAGAAGGAGGCGGAGGTCCACGGGGACTTGATTCAGCATGCAGCCCCCGACAAGTACACGAATTTGTCAATTAAATCCGCCACAATGATCCAGTGGGTCGCAACTTCCTGTCCAGAAGCCAAGTTCGTGGTCAAGGCGGACACAGACACCCTCGTCAACCTCGACGTGATGGTTCCGTACTTGAAAAAGATGGAAAGCAAGGGTGATATCGCTCTAGGAGCCCGCCTAGACCGCATGCCCATCATTACTTCTGAAAAACACAGAAACTACCAGGATCCGCTGGTGTTTTCGCGGCCCACGTTTCCCCCCTACCTCTCCGGCGCTTGCTACATTGTGTCGGGCAGCCTGGTGCAGAAACTGTCAACGGTGCTGTCCCAAGTGCCTCGCGTGAGGAACGAGGACACGTTTTTAGGAATGTGTTTGGAAAAACTGGGAATAGATCCCACCAATATAGGACGGGAGGCGCAGATCAGCCCCTGGTTCGACCCCTCCAAGGGCCCCTGTGCAGCTTTCCGTCTAGCGGCGGCCCACCCCTTCAAACGCGACTTGCTGCTGGCCATGTGGAAGTGGTGGAAGTCAGGGGGCTCTAAGATGTGTCACTGACTGCTGCTTCGCTTTGATTTAGTGCTGTCATGTTGCCAAGCTCAAGGCGGCGAAATTCAATAACGGGAAGGAGTCTTGTGGCGCCCAGCCGGCAGACTGCGAGTCCTGCTTCCCACACTTACGCTGGAGCCTTTTTGTGTGCGTTTTCATGCTTTTGAAGGCCATAAGATGCCTTTCTTTATTCTCCGCGCCTTTTCGTGGTGGCCTTCTGAAGGAAAGGACCACCGCTTTCAGTGTCCACGCACTCAGTCTGAGCCTAGGAGGACCTTGGGCATGCAGGAGTGCACAAATAAACATAAAACTGCAGGTCACCAAATAAGCTACTCAACGGGAAAAGTAGCTCCATATGAGTCCGAGGGTTCTGCGAGGGGCCCCCCGTGGCAGAACCACAACCGCTTTTCACGCACATTCCCCTCCGTTATGGTTAATGCGGAAATACTGCGTGGTGCAGCGGCGTTTGCATATGTATACAAGTGGAATATATATATATATATATATATATATATATATATATATATATATATATATATATATATATATATATATATATACATATATACATATAAACATATACGTTTTTTCGTACATTCGTGGATGTGTATTGTCCAGTGAGCATCCTGTCCGCGTTGCTCTTCTGCATTTTGGCTTGTGTAATGAGAAACAAAAATAGCGCAAAGCGCGGTTTTTATGTCTTTGAATGAGCTTTGTTCCCAGTTCATTTCTCACTCTGAGCTGAAGGAGTGCTTTTTGAATATTGCAGCACTCACATTGTAAAGTGATGAATAGCGAACTGAGCTCTTTCCATTCTTGAAGCGTTTGCAGCTGAAGGCTTTTGCCGTTTTTACTTTGTTTTGGACAAATTTGCCACAAAAGGCCTCCAAGACATTCTAGAGGCTTGCTATGTAACCTCCAAAATGCCTGAGAACGCTGCAGTCGAGCAAGTGCTCGAAATGTGGAAAAGTTGGAGAGTTTATTTCACTAACAGTTGAACATACAGAATGTCAGTTCTGCTGCGCTGCCCCTCAGTGGCCTCAGGTTGCCTAAAACTGAAGCGTATAAACGAGATACACGCATCTTAGCCCATAGCATTTTTTATTGCAGCTTTTAGGCCACGGATCTATTCATTCGCGAGAACAGCGAAGAGGCGACAGCAGAACTGTCGGCAGCCGAGAAAGTGTTTCTCTGGCGAAGTAAAAGCCTTATAAGCATCGTCAGCCGTGTAAAAGCCCGCGAGCCAGCATGCAAAGTGCAGAATGCGATAAACACTACTTATTCGGAAGCTGTGAGCCCCGAATGCTCTTCTGCAAAAGTTTCAGCCGTGAGGTCGCCTGGCCTCGTGCAGAAGGCTAAGGCATTAACAGCATGCTGGGGGCGACACGTTTGTCCACATTCAGTGAAAGATCTAAAATATTTTAGTCTGTTTGCCCAGCACTCAGGATTTTTAGCTTACAGCCTGCTGCTGCTAACCAAAGACGGGGCTCGGGCGGAACAAACACCTCCCGTCTGCTGCAACCCTAGTGGAAAGCCGCACCAATTCACGGACAGAAGCCGCCATATTTACGTTATGGACTCAGAGGCGTTCACAAAGTATTTGTGTCAAAATTTGAACGAAAAAAGCTAGCGTTTTTCTCAGTTTCGGAGAGGCGTGAAAAGTGGCATGTGGTGATGCGCCGATACTGCAGTGCTGCCTGGTCAGGCTGCTGGCATTCCTGCGGCTACTAAGGGCAGGTTAGGGCGATAAGGCGTTTGTTTTCTTTTCAATCATAATTATTGTTTCAGATAATTCTCTGTTTCGCTTCCAGCGCTGATCTGCGTGGGCGCTGTTGCCCGGGGACTGACGACAATCGGTCCCGCGGTTGCAGCTAGCGTGCCGATAAAGGACCACCGCCACCTGCAGGCCCAAAACTGCGCAAGAGTGACACAGCTGTCCTCCTTTTTGATTTCAAAGCTCAAAATAGGTGTTAAATTATTCAAAAACTGTTCTTCCCTAAAGAAAGGGCTATCGTTTTGTGGGCGCCGCTGCCGCCTCAGCGACCGCAGGGACCACAGCCGCCTGCAGTTTGCAGCGAACGTCTGGCTCGTATTTCTTTTCTTTATTTCTGGTCATTTCTTTATATTCACTTCATTACGAAAGTATTCCTCTCCCACTCCACCCTCCAACAGGCCCCGAATAAGCTGCCATAGCCCAAATCAGCGACGCCGAGAGCACCGCTGCAACGGCAGTGGCAACCATCGCTCAGCAAGCCGAGTGCGCCATCGGTGGATCGCAGCTGACAGTGAGATTTTCATCCACAAAGGTAAAACTTCAGAGCAAATACGACTTAAAACACCCCCAACAATAGCACAGAACCGTGAGGTGCCGGCTGAAACTGAGTTTTCGGAAAAGCTGCAGGCGGGAACTTGCGTTGAATGAGCACTGGGACTCAGCCCGTTTGCCGCAGCCTCCAGTGACTATGTGCACAATTTTTAAAATAAGAAAATGCATACGAATAGTGAGCCTGACAGTCAACGAAGAAACCCGCTGCGGAGGCGGAGCAGTTTCCCGCGTTCGCAAGTTTGGCAGCGACAAGCGCCTCCAGCCTCCCCCATGTCCCCCATATGAGCATTTTCGGTTTGTTCAGGTAATATGGAGGGGAACGGCGCGAGCAATGGCTCGCCGCTGAGCGCTTCGCAGCCCAGTTCCAGCCCCAACACGGTGCGGTCACTGATTCCCGAGGCGACTCATTCCTTGAACGCGGCCGGCGCCATTCCCGAGTCGCGTCCTGCGCGTCTAATCTTGCGGCCGTACGAAATGAACTCACCAGGTTATCCGGGCATGTCTCCTCTTCAGTCTCCTCAGTCCGAAAATTTGCGGTTCTACAACTCGCGAGATGCTGGAGCGGGCTCGTTCAAGTCGCAGCAGCTGCGCCAGCAGCAGCCCCAGCCTCCGCCCAAGTACCAAGTCTCGCTGGACGACATGAACAGCAAAATGCAAAACTCCTTCGTTACTCCCATGAAGCCCGTCGTAAGCACTCTGCCGGCGATGCACGAGGCGCCGCATCGGCCGCCGGTAGGCGTCGGCCGCGCCACGCTGCCTCTCAATGCTTATGATCTTCCGCCGCCTCTGCTCGAAAGAAAGCACCCAAAAGAGCAGAGTTTTTTGCAGAGTTGGAGCAAAGTCGACCTCGCGGGCGCCATCGCCACTTCTCGACTCGAGCGTGTGCCTCTGCCTATGCTCGAGCGCGTGCCGGGTGGAACTTGCCGCCCAGGGCTGCAGGGGCCCCTCGTTAGGATCAGACTCCCGCAATTGCCTTCTGTGGAGGGGGATTTGCGGCGCTTCTGCCAGCGAATTTTGGCAGCTTTCAGCGGCGCAGCCGACGATTGCCGCCGGCTCTTCGTTCCCTGCACAGACCTGAGGCTCCCCAGGCTTCAGTGCTGCGCGCCCCAGCCTCCCGTGATACAAGAATGCAAAGAGTGCGGATACAAAGGACATTTCTGTCCAGAATGTGGCACTGGGGCGAACGGGAGTGCCATGAGCGCGGCCGGCATGCCGTACGCTCGTATGCAGCCCTCCAGAGGCGTCTTAGGTGAATTCAGTTTCGACACTGTGAATCTTGAATTGCAAACTAGTGCCTAACCTGATCTGCTAGCTTTAAATTATCCACGAAAAGCAGACAAATATACAGCGCCACCTGGTCAGCTCAGCTTCTGCAATGGCAGAACCAATGGCTCTGTTTTTATGTTTGTTTTTGTGCGAACAGTCGCTCAAGAGGGATGCCTAGAACGTTGCATGCGCTGGCACTGCTCTCTGTTTGAAGAGGTGGGAGACGCGATTGACCAGGAGATCTTGTGTGACCGCGCCGGCGGCATCTTCCGCGAATTCGGCGAATTTGTGGACAACTTGGTGGCAGAGGGGATTCACACTATCAGTCTCAACTGCGCAGGGCTCTGCGGCTCGATTCCTGGCAGAAGCCACACCATAGTAGAGGGGTACCCGATGTACGAACCCGATCCACAGTATGTCCGCAAGGAAAGACCCACAAGTACAACAGGTCAGTGGCAATGCAAGACTAAAGCATAAGACAATAGACTGCATTTTTATGTGAAACTGACATCACGTCTGTGTCAATTTTTGGGTGATTTGCTTGCCCAATGTACGAATAAAGCCATAATACTTGGATAGAGTAAGACAGCGCACTCAAAATTGCTGCGGAATAAATGCCTGCAGGTAACGCATGTGTGGACCAGCTGAATGCTTTCCTTGATGCCTGCCTGGCCGGCCGCTCGAAGTTACCCCCTGACTACCTGCCGCCCCCCATCCCCGATACCCAGAAAACTGGCAACTGGCTGATTGATGCCACTAATGCCGCGCTCGATTACTGCCTGCAAGACGTGAGTCCTCATTCAGGACTGCACAAACTCATGCATTTCTTTTGGCTCAACAAGCTAGCGCTGCGGTGCTGAGTGTTCGCACTTATATGTTTCACCAGTATTTGGGAAAATATAAGCCTCAGCACTGCCTACAGACGAATTCATTCCTCTACCCCGCGCTTCTCAAGGCCTCAGGCTTTACTTGCTGGCTTGTAATGCTGCAGCGAACGCCCCCTCCTCCTCCGCCTCCACGCAAGAAGACCTGCCCGCTAGAAATGCTCGTTCCACCTTGCTGCCGCGAGCGGCCTCCCCCAGTGGTGGTCCCTCAAAAGCAACGTATGCTTCACTCTTAGCACTGTAATCTAGCAATTACCTACACTATAGCGTCCGCAGCTTGGAGGGCAGTTATGAATCGAGGGCTGGAGATTAGCTTAAGCTGCGAAGCTTGGTGATTTGTGTGTGGCTCTGCTGCAGCGATGTGCCCACTACTGGAGCGCTGCATGGGCCGCGAGCGTGACTGCCCGCATTGCCATCAGCCGATCCGTCGCTCTGGAGGCAAATGCAAGTTTATTTAAATTTTTATCTTATACCTGAAGTGCCATGCCCTGAATTCCCACAGTTACCCATTGCGTTTCCCCGTATTTTGCCTCCTTCTCCTGTTCTAGCCGATATGTTTCTCGTGTCTTGTGCATGTGCGAGCATTTCCATGTTTTGTAACTGTCTTCGCCTCTTGCAACAGGCCCTAAGGAGGAAATAGGCGGATGCCAGATCCAGTTTTGCCCCGTCCGTGAGCCAGCAGTTACTGTGCTCCCCACAGGCCCCTCATTGGTTTATCCCTACAGAGAAGAGGGTGGGCAGTGCAAACGACCAGACATTAGGCCCCTTCCTCCATCTTAGCTGCAAATCCACACTCAGGACAGCCATCCTGAGACACCATTGTGATAGCCACTTTCCAATTTCTCATGCTCTCGTGGCTGATTCGTGTAGCCTTCGCCGGAAAGCACGCTGTACAGGTAGTACTTCATCTTTACTGGAGCGATAACATAAAAGGGCGCACGTAAGAGGCGCTGCAGGTGTTATTTGGCTTTGTCTGTGATGTCAAGGCGGCATGCGCTTTCTCTTTTGTATCTTCTCAGCATTTCAGGCTCACGACCGCTCTGGGCTAGTACGGGCATTGGACGATCACGCAGAAGGCGTACCACTCCCTCAAAAAGTAGTCGTGACTTAACTGGAGACGATGCGGCCGCACAATAGAGTTTGTGCTGTTATTGCCGTGCCGAAAATTGCGATGGGCAGCTGTTTCTTCTTTTTAGTCACCCATGGCTCTACTGCACCTTACTCGGATCCTCATTGACCTTGAGTACTGCAGCGCTTTGTCGGTTTGACAAGAGGGGTTTGATGTAGCTGATGAGGCCTCCGCCTTCATTGTGTTACCATTTGTAACAACTTCGGGTAACAACGTCGGCATTACCCCTGCTGCCTGCTGCACCACAGCTGCTCACGATGGACTGACGGACTGCTCTCTGGCCCGCTAATTCGCATTTGTAAAAGGTACCAGCTCCTTGTATATTTGCCATGTCGGCCTTTGCTCTTATGTGGTCAAATATCTCTTCGTAACTCTGGTTTCGCTGAGGGTAGACAATGATCAATACACCCTGAGATCAGCAGCCAGATCGCCCAACTTTCACAAAGGCAGGAACAGATAATTAGCCTCTAGTTTCCTGTGACAGAAGTTGGCACATGTAAAACTGGCTTCTGGCAGCCGCGCGTTCATAGCGCCGCTGCTTGTTGTTCATGTTGGCCCTTTTTCTTCCCGGTGCAGACGCACAGGTCTGATTGTCCGAAATGTTTATAATCCGCCAAGTAGCTCATGAAGTCTTCTTGGTACAGTCTGTCGTCTAGCAGGTTAGTCCTACCCTAGTAACGAATGTGAGACTATGCGGGTATCCCCAGAGGGAAGTCTGTTAGGGTCTTTCACAATGCTACGGCCTTCAGCCGGTGGCACTATTTTACAGCCCACATATACTACAGACTGTAAACTCTAGGCTTACGGCGGGGTTGCAGGTTCCACAGTAGACACTGTGTGGGGAAAACATGGCTATCGGCAACCCCTCACTATCAGCCCCAGAACCTTAAAGTAGATACTGGGTGAGGGAAGCAGCACGGCTATCGGCAGCCCCTCACTATCGGGGCTACCAGACCAGCACGGAGCCTTCGGATGGCTAGGCTGTTGGAAATGCAGATGAAACCGAAACAACGGAGTTGCAGAAGTGACAATGAGCTACTATGAGCGCCAGCACAAGGAAGCAGCTGCTGTCCCCGCAGTCAAGTGTGCCTGTTGCATTATGAGCCCACTGACTCATAGCAAAGCACACAAGATGGCTGAGACTAGGAAGCCAGACAAAAGAAGGACCTTTCTCTGCTTGCTGGACACTGGGGGCAGCAAGCCGCGAAAAAGGAAACCTGTCACATGAAATCGAAGTCTACGAATTCTTCCTTTGGAGCGGCGGTTAGCAGCAGCCAGCAGAACAAACCGACAACGCTGAGTGCAATAGAAAAAGCCTTCAGAAGAGAAAGAACACCGCCCACGGGCCTGCCTTCTGTCGCCGTGCAACTTGAGCCGTATCCGCGGGCTGCAGTGAGTGCTGTGTCTTTATCACGCGGGTGTACACTGCCCAGGCTCGAGCGAGCAGCGGAGCTCCTGCGTAGGTAGGGTTTCGTATTTTGCTGTTTTTGTTGCCTCTGGGTTGTGGATCCTGCACTGACACGCTCCAGCAAGCCCTCCGGTGTGAGGGCCGGAGCTGCGCCGCTGCCTCTGTTGAGGGATCCGCGGCAACCCAAGAACGGGGCCTTCACTGGGGGCTCCCTGCCAGCCAACATATCCGAAAAGTCTTGTCTGAACTGGCGGGCACTCCAGGAGTCGTAGGAGGTGTTCAGCAGCCGCCACAGACACACAATCAGCACTACAGCAAAGCGAAAACACCAGCCAACCCTACCCATAATGCGCCACAGATCCCCGCAGGGTGATAGCCAAACTGAGGCAAATGAGCCTCCGCCGAAGAAAGAAGAAGCTGCGCAGGGTCTCGTGTCGCTGCCAGGGGGCTCATGCCCAAATCCACTGCCGCAGATGTTGAGGCCACCGGCTCCCACGCTCGAGGCTTCTTCCTGCTGTTGGGGAGGTCGCGGCCAAGACCGCAGCTGCTCTTGCTGTGGCTGCTGCTGCTGACGCATTTGCTGCTGCTGCAGTTCCTGCTGTTGCTGCTGCTGGCCTAGTGCCTGAGCCGCGTAGGCAGGTGCTCCCTGTCCTCTTTGTTGTTGACTTTTCTCTGTCATGTTCGAAAGTGCCGAGCCTCTGAGGAGCCCCTCAGCCAGTGAGCGGCCTTCGCCGTTGCTGCTTTCCGCATTCTTTCGCACAGAAAAGCCGTAGTCTTCGTTCGCAGCATTATGCGCAGCAGCAGCAGCAGCAGCAGCAGCAGAGTTGAATCTCGAGCTAGCTGCCACTTCGCGCCCCCGGGCGCTGGTGGTCTCGGAAATGCAGGTGAAGAGGCCAGACCTCTCGAAGGAGGCCGTGATCTGCGACAGCTCGCGCTGGTCAGAGGCATCCAGCTGCAGCGTTGCATCATCAGCTTCGACCAAGTCTGCATGCGCGTTGCCGGCGCTGGTCAGGGGGTCTCGAACAGTCCAGCTGCTGCTGAGACTCCCCTGCTTCCTCTGCTGCTGCTGCTGCTCTTGCTGCGGCGCGGCCACGGGAAGCAGGCTCGTGTGGCTTCGCCCAAGGCTCCACGAACACACCGCCTCCCCCGCCACGCTGCTGTTCTGGCGGCGCAAGTCTGCCCCCACTCGGTTTGCTGCTTCCCCCTCTTGCAGTGCAGCAGGGGCCCCCCGCCCCCGCGGCAGAGGAGGCCCCTGCCGCAGCGGGGCCAGCCGCGGCAGCGCATGCAGGGAAGCAGTTGGAGCCAGCTGGCCAGCAGCTCTGTAGGGGCTCTGGCTGCGGACGCGGGAAGCAGAGGGGTTGTTGGGCGCAAGGAGCTGGCGGGGGGTCTCAGCGGCCACGCTGTGGTCTGCGCCGCCCGCATTTCTGCTGCGCCGGCGCGAGCTGCTGGTGGCCCTCATGTAGTTCCGCTGCGAGCGTTCAAGAGGCTGCGAGGCAAGAGAAGAAGTGGAGCGGCCCACTGACGGCGAGCGCGGCGTGTGGGTCCTCAAGTTCTTTGCAAACAGCCTCGTCTGCTGGTCAGCCCCGCATGCGCTGGGGCGCCGCAGCGGCTCGTTGTCGCTGAAGACGTTGCTGGTCCGCTGCTTCGCAGCGATGCTCTGGGCTAGCGCCCCGGCGGGCGTGGGCGGCAGCGGCATAGTCAGGCGTCCGGGCAACAAAAGGTGCGGGATATGAGTCAAGAACCATTGAAGTCACGCAACAAGTCGCTTTCTGGTTGCGGCTTCTTGAGCAGTCGCGGAGAAAAACAAGTTGACGCTAAAAAACGGATCGCGCAGCAGGGAGGGCTCCAGCTCACGCCGCGCTGGACCTCTCCGTGAGGCTCTCTGTCAAGGCTCTAGACATCCGCAGAAGCAATAAGACAAATGCTAGGTTACGAGTGGACTTTGAACGTGAGCAGGCCGTTGTGTAAACCATCGGGATGGAAACAGGTGTGAGGCGGAGTGGAGGGCGGGTGCGAGGGGTCACAGCCAGGCATTTTCTGGCCTCTAGAAAAAACACCAAGTAGTGAAATAAAGGACGGGCTTACATTTATTGAGAGAGACTTAATTGTCACGTTGTTTCTGACTGTTATTTTCAACGGGGCTGAGTGCCCTGGACATTTTCTGGTGGGGTTGCAGAGTGTGTTCATGTCTTCTCCAAATGAGCAGCATACGTACACGGCTGCATGACCTCCATTGAATTATATTCCAAAAAAGGACTTTTGAACAATTCACGAGCGTCTTGACCGTTCAGCTTCCCGTCGCTACGCTGCACACTTGACGCTCACCGTAGAGGATGTCTTATTAACCGAAAGGCAGTATCTGGCTCGCGTTCGCTTGTAGAAGATGGGGCGAAGTACACTTTAAAACGGCAGGGCATGGCAAGGCTAATTCTGGCAAGGGTTTGCGGAATGCAGCTAGTGCCTAGTGCAACTACTACGCTTCGTACACTTACCGCGCCCAGGCTGACGGCGAAATATGTTAACAGTCCAGTCGTAGGTGAAGAGGCACATGTTGAAGTCACGACCAACAGACAACAACGCTGTAGTAGTTGATAAGTTTTTGTGTGTAGAGACGAAGTAGGATGTGTTCAAACTTAACTAAACTTGGAGGGTCGGCTTCGACGTGGGTTGGGTGAGACGACAGACGGATCCGACTGGTTTACTCAGTCTTGTGCAAGTAGAGTGCTCTAGCCCATGTTATTGTGGTGCTAGCTAATAATTGAAGGTCTTATAGATACCTAGACGCCGCCAGTCACGCCGCGGCTCGGATGGGCTCTTAAATAGGCCGTCCTCTCCTTAGCCGCTTCGATGAGGATCCACACAGGAGAAATGCAAGAAAAGCTTGGCGCCTCTACATAATGAGGAGCAGTATGGGGATCCAAGAGCTCCACTGAGATACACAGCGTCATTGCAATGTCCTTTTTTCAGCAACTCACTGCCGCCGACGCATTTTGTTCACGAGTGTACGCACCAGCAGCAGAATTGGTATCCTGCTATGCCTAGGAACACCGAGCATATGAGAATAGAAACTTTAAATCGAGCAACTGCCCTCCGGCCTTGGTCACACCACTTAGTTTCCGCCGCTCGCAGCTTACCAGCCGGCTTGTTGAATCTCGCCACCAGCGCGTTGGCATGTCTGCTATCCTATTAAGGTTTCTTTCCTATCACTCAGTCTTATAAGCCGAAAATTCACCTGAGTGACAACCTTATCAAGGTTTCTTTCCGACCATTCAGTCTGCTAAGCCGAGAATTCACTATATAATTTGAGCATGGCGGCAATTGCTTGATTAAAGGTTTCTATTCTCATATGTTAGGCGTTCTTGGGCATACAACGATACCACCCCCTTGGCACATCTGCCACCGTATGAAGGTTTCTTTCCGACCACTCAGTCTGCTAAGCCGAAAATTTACGTGAATGATGAGTAATGCGACCTATTAGAAGTGTCAGCTTGCGAACAGATGGCATATTTTTGCACAATAGGCATACAACGGACTGGAACAACAGGTATTACGCATAACGGGAATCTAGGCTGCGATATAGCTACGCCCATAAGTGAAATGCACGAGTGCAATAATTCATGCAAATCAGACAGGTAATTTTGCAGCCATGTAGAGCCTGGATTAGATTCATCGACCTGCAGCAAAGGCTTAATATGTCTTCGCCAGAAATGAGCTCCAGGGCCAGCCTACGGCTTTCCGAATAGGGATGGTATCTTTAAGTATCGGCGTGCATGGTAACACAACACAAAGCAGTCTCGTAGTGGCCAAGCTGAGCTTCCACCAAATAAGAGAAGAGGTGGAAAACACGTACACCGAGCTATTTACTGGGTTTCCCAACTACCGAAACTTCGCCCGCTTAGCTTTCGCTCAAGCGCCCTCATGACCATTGCATCTTTTGCCGTGGCAAGAGTCTAGGTAATGCCATTATCCGTGCATGCTACCTGATATGCTTCACTTCATATGCAGTAGATAGCCAAGCTGCCCAACATGGCGTGGACAGAATCCACGTGCTATCCAGTAGGAGTCTTGTAAGTCGCTGCTACAAACTATGGCGGCAATTCCAGCAGGCAAAAATCGCGAATATTTGCTAAATACGGGAAGTTTCGTGCCGGCAACATCGTTTCAGTTTCTCTGTGGGCCCTTTGGAGACAGTATCGAAGATATTGAGGAAGGCAAAGTATTCTTTCACCCCGGGCTGAAAGAAGGCTCTATAAGATTCTCATGGCAGTGACTTGAAGACGCAGGCCCATCCAGTCGTGAACTCACTTTTATGCAAATCTACTTTTGCCTCCAGCTTAGGGTCTGCCTTTTGTGAAAGCATACTAAGCAGTTCGGACCTAGCAGTGAGCCTTGGCCTTTCCCAGCGCGTTCTGAGCACCTTTCCCATGCATTACTTTACGCTAATTTTCCGAAAATGCAAGTTCGCCGGACAGAAGTTCATCCAGTTGGTCTAATCTGCTGGATCAGATGGTATTGAACCCGCGGCCCACAAGTTAGAAGAGGCGAATGTATCACCAGGGGCGCTCAATAAAGCACCCAAGTGCTGGAGTTCCTCAGTACCACCAAACATTGTTCCATGCGCATGGAACCAGAGTTAGTCGAAGCTCCACACTGCCTTGTTAAACCCACCATGTAGGTTGCACTTTTGCCTGTGCGAGCCTACGCAGCAACTGGTTGGCTACGTAGCCCTTCATGTTCCTTACCATACGAATTTGCGTTGGACACAGGTGCGTTGGTTAAAGTAGGGTGCGCAGTACTTCGAAAAGCGTTGCTGAATGAAGCTACAAGCCTATGCTGAGGCGACGCCCATAATACCGAGCACGCAAGCCAACAAGTACGAAGCCAACGGGCGAATATCCAAAAGTTAAGCCTGTTGCGGCCGTAGACCTCCCAGGGCTCTAAAACTATTCAAATCTTAGCAACATCTCGTGACTTCTGATACCGCTTGAAACCTGATACTACGGGGAGTGACACCTACACGTTGCTCCTGTGCACTATACTAACATCCAACGCACTAACACGAGTCCTGCAGGGCTTGCAGGTGTTGGTGAGGTATTATGAGATAATCATGGGCTTCGTTTTGAGGAGTCAGTTTGGAGACGCACCCAGCAGGGCCGCACAGCAGTAAGCGAGACGGGCAAAGACACCCTCATTACCGCGACAAAACACCTGAAAGCTGAACAGCATACACTTTAAGCAACAAACCGCACAACTCCTTTTCAAATATTGAGTTGGCCCCGCAGTCACGAGATTTAGTGCAACAGCTTGCCGGGCCCCCTTGTGCTTCAGTTTCTGTAAGACGTAAGCGAAGCTAAGAAGCAACAGATGCGTTCATTATTGGCTGCTTCGTTAAGGATGCCGAAGATTGTGGTGGCTGCATTTAATGAAATAATGGCGTTAATATGATGTATTAAGGCTGCTTCTCTTTCCTTGCCCTCTGCATGCCTGTGTTAATACCAAGACTCAGAAGGAGCGCAACAGTCGCGCCTGCGTTCTTCTGTGGCGTGGGAAGCAGTACGAGGCTTTGCATCGAATTCATCTGAAGTCTAATGTTGCACAATTCCCAGCGGTGAATTAATGATGTGATGGGGTAGAAGACTGCAATTGAGCGACATTATTGCGTCCGTCTCTGTTCCTTACCAGCAGTCGTTGTTGCTGTGGTCAGAGCCGAGGGTGACACATGCACGGGACTTTCTCTTTCACTTTTTGCGGATTTCCGGCCTCATGCAGGATGAGCTAGTTTTGCAAATTTTCGGTTTTCTGCCTTTTTTTCTCATCCACTGTCTCGCTGAAGCCAAGACCCCCACATCGCAAATGACTCATTGTCAGGAATGTATGTAGCGCCGCTGGAACTTGCAACATGCCTGCAGCCTGAAGACAGCTACGAGCCGCTGCTGAGTGTTGGGACACCTGTCTGGTGCAAGCGCGATCTAACAGCACTGCGATCTCGGCAGGGAAGGACAGTTCGCGCGTTGCTGATCCAGGGCAGTGGACGCAAATCGGAGCGGTCAGCAGAGAACTCGACATTGACTTTCTTGGCTGATAGAGATCCCCGGCAGAGTTGTGCTGTTTAGTGGGAGTGGGAAACAGTCCAAAAGTAGTGGAAATGCCACGACTGCTAGCTCGACGCTGCATGGCTGCAGGCTCAAGGACTTGCCTTGTGCCTGTAGCGGTTCTGCTGAGCCTGCTGCCAACTGCATCTGTGGTTGCTTCATCGACTGTGAAGCCTTTCCAATCAGGGGATGAGTTTCAGGAGGGCGATGCGCGCGTGCCACATTATAATTCATATCATGTGGTTGAGGACATAGAGGGCATTGATGGGCAGGTGAGTGCAGAGTGGTTGGACCTCCATGCTCATCTCCCACTCCTCAAACTGGCTCTACCAGCCACTTACATGAGCACCTTGACGGACGTCAACGTGCCTAAGTACGCAGGCAAAGTTGAGTCGCAGAACTTGGGTGTCGTCGACCAGCTGAAAGATGGAATTCGTCTCATTGATGTCCGGCTGTGGAGGGACGAAAGAGTTGCAGACCCATTATCAGGGTGGTTTACAGGTGGGGACGCGAGGAAAGCACCAAACTGAGCATCTTCGTACTTAGCCTGTTCATGCACGTGCATGCAACTTCGTTAGCCCTCATCCGTGCATCGCAACCCATGTTGTAGGTGTGCATCGCACCTTATGCTCCTGGTGTTGTGAGTCACAGTGCGATTTGTATCGCACGCGGAATAGTACTGCGCGATAGGGATTTGAAATTGACTTCTGTGTGGTGTTGGGGTGAACCGGCTGAGCTAGTATTAAGTCTAGACGTAGCTCCGCAGAACAGCCTCAAGAGGTGTAGCACGTTGTTACTGTTTCAGTACGCTTCGGATTTTTTGCAGAGGTGCCATGGCGGCTGTTTGAAGACGCTGAGCTTCTAAAAAGCCTCGCAAACAGGAAGAATTTAGGAACTCTCTCAGCGGCTGAGGAGGAGGCTTTGAACGTTCACAGTCGGACGGATCTGGTGGAGGGTCTATTCAAGCCAGTTTTGCAATTTCTACGCAAGTCAAAGACAGAAATTGCAGTGGTTGTCTTCTCGGCAGTCAACGGGAACACGCACACCAAACGCAATGCAATCGCGAAGGGTTCAGATCTCGCAGACTCTCTTGCCCATGCAGAGAAACAGCTAGAGTCATTTTTGCAAAGCGGAGGACCTTACAGCGACAACGAGCATGATGTGGAGCCCCAGAACCCACCCGCAGCTCCCAGTGTAGTGCGGGTTGGGCCGCATTCGGCTTATTACAGTCCATTGCTGGATAGTTTTGTTAAAAAGAGCGTTACATTTAACCATTTTGCGGAGATCACGGAGCTAATCGACAAGTTCTGGGGTGCTCTGCTGCCTCGCCATTCGGATGCATTTGTGGGAGCGGACGAGCAAATTCACCCCATGCGGGATAGTCAAAAGGACCCAGAAGGTTTCAGACAATGGCAGCGAAGCCAAGGTGCAGCATTTCTTGCGAAGCCTGTTTCCGAATTGCGCGATGCGAAAGTGCGGCTTCTGTTGCTAGTAGACGACCCGCTGCTTGCGTGGTTCATTACAACGCAGTCGCAGCACCAGGTGATGGCATTCGTGAAAGCGGATCATATGTATGATGTTTCCTACAAGTCCGAGTCGCATTTTGCGCCATGCGCTTCACCGCATACCGCTCGAAACGGTAAGCGTCACACGGAACAGCTGGGAAAGTTTTCTGTCGCGGTTGAACGGTATTCGTTTTGCTCGTCTGGGATTTATCATAGTATCTGGATACAAATTGTGCAGCCAGTGGATGCTAGCTTGTTGTCCCACCGTGCGGTATGCTTCAGGAAAGCCTTCAACCAGCCGCGTCAGCAGTTGGCCAGTCTGCCGGAGTTTGTGCAACACGGTAGGGCCGAAGGAGTGTTCGGCATGGTCATGGAAGCCCGACGAATCCTCCCAGAGCTTAGAGTCTGTACACAGCCGTCGTGAAGGCGACTTGGGTAGCTTGTGGGACGAGAGGGCGGATGAGGAGCTAGGAAAATGCGAGCTGTTTACAACGCCGCTCGTTGAACTATCTTTTGAAGCTATTACTCAGGGAGCAGATTGTCCCAATGAAGACCTGATGACCTCTGAGCTTCCGTGGGATACTATGTCGGTTGTGGGTGACCTACTGCTTTCAGTTCTTCCACTTGTACATGTGGAGGCACCTCCAAGTGTTCGCCGACATAGCATGCGAAAAATGACAAACGTAAAGTTTGGGTTTGACTCGCGAGTCTGCATGCTCACAACAGGATCCCCGAGCGGCCACGAGATGAAGTATGGCATTTCGCAGAAACTGATTCGCGTCATTTTTGCTCCGCCAACACCGCAGATCCGCATAGAGGCATCGCAAAGACCGGCTTATAGCCAGAGAAGCGATGTGGTGAGAAGATTCAATTCTGCGCTGGCAGACTATGTACTTCTTCTCCTGTCGAGGTACCGTATCCTCGAAAGAGATCTAGTTGTGAGCAGGCCCATTAACGCTATTCAAATTTCCAAGTATCACAGTGTCAGAAGCCGCCTGGAGCCATTTGCGGCTGCGACCTTCTTTGAGCACATAGCAATTTTGAACCCTTCTGGATTGATCGGCGCCAACCTGATGGCGTTTCCGGTGAGTCAGTCACAGCGCCTAGGTTTTGCAGCATCTTGAAGTGCGTTGCATTGGGTAGCCTGGATGTTTTGTTTAGCTACGGTCCAATGTTGCGTTAATATTGGAACTTGCGCATCGTGTGGTACAGGAGGGTGGCTATGGATTTCCGTGGACGGATCCAGCAGCCGAGACAACTACTAAAGCTGTGGAGCCACCGCAGAGCGGGCCCTACGTGACGATGTGGTTGTGCTTCATCGGGATAATTACTGCAGTATCTGTTTGCGTTTTCATCGCCACGCTTTGGTGCCCCTGCCATTTAGCCGGCTTCTTGCGGAAGGTCTGCCGTCGGCGTGCGACAGCGGCTGGCCCATCAGCAGGTTCAGGTGGCGTGGTCAGTTTATCGAATGTTAACTCTTCTGGAGCCGCTGCGTGAGCAGCTAGGGGATTTACTTTTATGAGAGCGGGCTGTGCATCGATGATGATCTGCAGCCTGTGGAGGGTCTCACCTAGATGCAGAGCAGTTTGAACATGAATTCCAGCAAGATAAGTGGATGGGCTGTTTGTAAGCGGCAGCTGCGGAGAGGGCATGAAGAGCACCATTGCTTAACAATCTTAGCTTGCGTGGGCTGTAAGCATTGCCAGCGATTTTTGTATGCCATGGTAGTGCGCGTGCCCCAGACAGAGCAGTTGCAGCCAAGATACGTGTACATGCATCGCTGCTGTGGTGTGCATCGTTGCACCACGCACTACAGAAAGCGTAGAGCAAATACAGGTGCTCGACTAGATGCTTGAGGGCGTCGCTACTTTTGTGGCAACATGGCGGCGAGGCTGTACGGTGATTTTTCTTCGGCACTCACGTGACCTTGCGTGCAAGTTTCTGAGCATGCGAAGGAGAGGGTCTGGTAGATAGCAATTCGGCAACAAGCTTCCGCAGACGGAATTTCCACCGTTTGGCGGACTAAGCATCTCTATTTTCCTGGCCTCCCATGTACTTTTAGTACGGAAGATGAGCAGTTCCTTCGACACGGAAGTAGATTGGATATTACATGACATTGCTCGTAGGATTAGAGTGCTGCTTTGCTGCCGAGTCGACGGAGTTGTACGTATATCAAATGTCCTCGCTGGCTGGCATGTACGTGGTGCTTTTGATACAACCCAGCAGGGTGGCTTTGCTCTTTTTGATGTGATAGAGAGTGCCCGCATCTGCTCTCTGCAGTGGCAGGCGTGCGGGACCAACATGAGTTGCCCCGTTGCTGGAGCAGGAAAAATGCTCCTGTACGCTTACCTATAGAAGCACTGCCTATGGTGTTGAGTTCCTGAAGCACGGCAAATTTTGACCATTGGAGGGGTGGAATTAGCATTTGTTTGCTTTGAGGATTTGAGCATCTTGTCAAGCCAGTGCCAGCGGCCTGTTCAGAGCTTGTTACCATCGGCGAAGGCATGGACAGAATCCCAATTTACACTGCTCATTGGCAAAATGGAAGGGCTTTCACCGCCTCTCTTCTTGAGAGCATCAGCTTTCAACTCATTCGCATATTGCAGAGATGTTGCATGGCGAATGAGCAACTACTGGCTTTTTAATAACAAGAGCTTTACTTAGAAGTAGTGACAAATGGATCTGAGTCCCCGGAGGCAACGCCTCTGGCTCATCAGAGGATGGCGCCTGAATGTGGGACGTGTTGAGACAAGGGAGCCAGGTGCTCCAATAGCATGCGAAAGCAGCAGTGTATATGGCAATTAGCTTAGAATGTGGCCTGTAAATATGTCTTAATCAGCAGTGTAGACATTCCTGAAGTAGCTGGGCTCCACTGGTTGGTGTTATGAGGAGATGTTGCAGTCTGCCTTGCAGGAATGGAAATGGACGTCGCTCAGCATTGCATATTCCTGGCGAGACACTTATGTTAGGGTGCAATCGAATATGGGCTTCACACCATTAGTGGATAAGCCACACCCAAATAGCTAATTAGTTACACCCAAATAGCTACAGTGGTATTGACAGGGTAGCAGTGTAGACTAGCAGGACACTCGGCGAAAACGACGTGATCTGAAGGTTTGCTCAATGTAGCGCCACGGCTAGTGACTCCAATTAAGCATTTTCGAGGAGTCGTGTTCCTACTGCAGGTATTTGTGACCTTAACAGTCAGGTTTCAATTTTCTTGCGGCTTGTGCTATTGGTTTGAGGTGAGGTACAGTTCTATTAATTCGAGCAAATATGAACTGTAAAGAAGAGCAAAAGTTTAATGACAGCAAGCATGCGGTTTGAAATCAACGAGAACACTGAAACATCCAACTAGCAAGCCAAGTTTCATGATTGGAAAATGCAGCGGCTTCCTGTGACCAACGTATTAGTACGGTGTGGGGTGAGGCCTTTGGCGCAAGTGATGAAAAATACCTGCAACTAACAGGCATTTCTTTGCTGCTGATGATCAACGCACTGACAATCAGGTCTCTATTGCTTGATTCCACGGGTTCTTTGCACGATTGGTGGCTCTTTGTAAGAAGATCCGCCGTTCTACATCATGCTACCACACGTTAGTGGCCAGATTAGAGAGCAGTTAGAAAAGAGTTCCAGAAACGTAAATAGGTGCTGTATGCGTGGAACCCCACAATGCCAGTAAAACCCAGGCGTGACATGATGCTGCACGTTAGCTACATTGAAACAGGAGACCGCTAATCGAGAGGTCTCCTTCAATGCACAGCGTATATATGGTGTGCATTGAAAATTTGATATGCCATCTATGCGGCACGTTGTAGAGCGAAAGCAAAGCAGACTCTCAGTAAGAGGAGACGCGGGCGGCAAACAGGGTCACTTTGCGTTCCGGCTCAACCTTGACATTGACTCGACGAGCCGCCAAAGAGGCATCTATATTAAGTCATGAAATGCCAGAGGTACACCAATGTTATTGGCATTCCGGAAACTCGTGGTGCTATTTCGGTGCTGCACAATCCTGGGCGCAGAGGGGGTGCCCCTCACTTGACGCACGCCCGACATTAAATGTGCGCACTGAGATGATTGCTTCTCCGAATGTTCCATTCTTTGTTAACAGAACCTACTTTCCTAAAGGACTCCTGGGAGAGTTACAGCAAATGCTGCCCAAAGTTGCAGCACGGAACAGGGCGCTATCTTGGCTCGCCCTCCTCGGTGTGGTCTTGGCCCTATCTAGCGGCAGTGTTTGCGTCCACTCCTCGAGTAAGCGAATAGCCTATATGGGATAAGATGTCATCAGATAGCCCGTAGTAATACTCTTAGCCGCATCATTACCGCTATGGCGTTTGCCGTGCCGGACACAGCGTCCTTGTAGTAGGCGCTGGGCGGGCGAGTTTCACTGGACCGAAAGTTGAGCGACACCAAAAACACGTACATATTCCTGTCTTCCTGAAGAGCTCTTCAGTCTGTGCAGAGCCGAATGCAGCTAAGCAACTCATATTAGCGCCCACAGACAAGTGGGTACGCAGTTGCAAACTGAAAACTGTAGATCCCCTACGCTCGTGGCCCGCTGCTTGGAATCATCGAGCTAGGCTCACAGCTTTGCAAGGACTGCTTCATAGTGCTTCTGCCTGCACATTCAGGCCTGCCTCCTTGGGCGTGCGACGGGAAGGAAGGCTTCGTACAGCAATGCGGGAAGTGTGTAGCAGACTCCCAGTGTGAAAGCGGTCTATTCTGCTGCCCCACTCTGAGAGTTTGCATGCGCACTCGATCAGACCGATGCCGCAAACCTTACAACGTATGCAGGAGCACGTACAGAATGCGCAGGCCTGAGTACGCAGACGAGATCACTTGGGCAAGGGAGTGTGAAGGTCCGGGCCTTGTAGAATGGATGGAATGCCCATAACCTAAGAACCAATGCAGTGCATTCTCGGCACAAAAGCCGGGGCCTTCTAGCAAACTGTAATTCTTGCCTTGTGGCCTCTGAAACGAGGGATTAGAGCCTCTATCCTTCTGAGCTTCCTTAAAGTCGAACGGGTCCACTTTAGAACTTTAAAGTCGGAAGCGTTCGCATTTGAGCCGAACATTCAGGCGCCCTTATTACCTGTAGGTGATTTGTCAAATTGCCCTAATTTGCTGAAAAATTGCAGAAACTTGTGGCAGCCCTAGTAAGAATACTTTAAATAAAGTTGGAGTTCAAGTTTGCCAGCTGCGAAGCTGATTCCCTAAGCGCCGCTAGAGTAGAATCTAAAGGAGCTCTGCAGCCGTCTGAGCAACCTAAAAAAATGGTTACAGGCCGTCTAAACTGGCATTCCTGAAGAGAAAAAGGCTCTTCGTCATATATGCACGCAACTGCCAAGCGTCCAGAACCTTTTGGCGTTCCTCACGTGGCCAAGAAGCAAGCACGTGCCACAGTAGCAAGTTGCGGAAACAATGATCTTATCCAGTTGATTAAAAATTTAAACCTTTACCACTCTCCACCGTATTTCCCAGTGCCACCGTAGCGGGACCCCGAAGTCAAATAGTCCTTGCCCGTCGAGCCCTGAGTTTGCCTTTTCTGGCTTTCTAACTTCGGGCACTGTCCAATACGATGGCCCAAACCGCCGCAGTATGCACAGCCTCTAACACCTCCAATTTCCTTAGGAGCACAGACACAGTCGCATCGCACTTTGAAAGAAACGTCAGGCCCCGCACGTCGACACGCAAGCATTTCAAAAGAAACTGAATTAACAAACTTGGCTACAGATACTTGGTCCCGAAACCCCATACCTTCAGATTTAAGCCCCTGCTATCTAGAGCATCCAAGAATGGAGGAATTCTTTGGCCGGCCTCGATCAGAAGAGCTTTAAGATCTAGCAGAACTGTCTCCTCGGAATTTTTGTTTATGAAGGTTGTCGCTACTCCTGTACGGCCGCATCTGCCCGTTCGCCCGATTCTGTGTACGTAGTTCTCGATTTCTTTCGGCATGTCAAAGTTGATCACATGCTGAATTGCAGGAAAGTCGAGCCCTTTCGATGCAACATCTGTTCCGACAAGTACGTCCTTCCGACCCTCTCTGCACGTGCGAATAAATCATAATGCGCATTTCCACAGGTGGTCGTGCCCCGCTTGCAGCTCCGCCGGTCTCGATTAACAGCTTATCAATCCCTACAATAACTGAGCTAAAAAAATGAGATCTGCTGTCATCTTGCGCGCACTGAATAGCGTTAGCTGACATCGTCTAAACACAACCAGTGAGATCGCCAGTCAGCGCAACGCACTTAAACAGGCGAATAGCCTCGCTGCGTTCTTCCTGCGCAAGACCGCCGTGAATTGCTACCGCCTCGACTCCCTTCAACAGCAGATATTCCTGGATGTCATCCACATCCTTTTTGTTCTCACAAAAAACCAAAGCTGGAGGCTCTGTTTTTTGCAAGCAGTGCAAAAGATAAGGAAGCTTATTTTCTTGTTTCACGTACTCAACCTCTTGAATGACGTCCAAGTTGGCAGCTCCTGCACGCAAAGACAAGAGATCGGACGAGTGACCAGAAATATAAAGCAGACGGGAAAAAACAAAAGCAAGAAAACTTTTAGTCACCACTGGAAATCGAATAGACTGCAAAGTGAACAAGATTATGGAGGAGTCCACTAAACTCTCTCCAAGCTAATCACAAACGCGAGCACGTGCGGCTATGTGCATCCTGAACGCACCTGCCCTGCCAACGTTGACAACTATGGGATCAACAAGAGCAGATTTTGCAAATTCCTGGATCTTTCGAGGCATGGTGGCGGAGAATAAGAGCGTTTGCCTTTGGTGACCAAAACAATCAAGTACATTCCTAACCTCCTCTTCAAAGCCCATATCCACCATTCTGCAAAAGACACAGTACGCCTTAAGGTACTCCTGGAAATCTCCTACATTTCTTTTACGCCCTATTACAGCAATGTGAAAAAGCGCTCTCCCGAGCTGCAATTACCTATCTGCTTCATCAAATGCCAAATAACGGCACTGGTTCAACCCCATGCGCCTCTTGTTAAGCATATCGGTGAGCCTCCCTGGGGTTGCCACCACGCAGTGAACACCGTTACGTATGAATGCCGCCTGGAGGAAAAATCACAACAGAGGGCAAGTGAAAAAGACAACAATGCCACAATAGCAGCTCTGGCTGCAGAATAAGCAATTTCCGGTCAATCGTGCAATGCAAGGCAAAAACCTTGTGATCGCTAGGTCTACAAAGGAGCTAGAACAAGCCCAAAACTGGCTGCGAATCTCTTCAAGTGGCTTCTCTATGAGAACATGCACCTGTTCCTGCGTACTGACGCCTCCAATCATGCAGAGGCAGCGCAGCTGTGGATATCCACCTTCATGAAGAGCAGTGGCGAAAAAATTGACAACATCAGTTGTCTGGCTGGCCAGCTCCCGCGAGGGGCAAACCACTAGACCCCAAGGTCCTTCCCCTGAAGCGGGATCACGCACTCTCAGCTTGCAAAGGCTTACAGCCAAACATCCTAGGATGACAAGGGTAGCTTTGAACAGCAATTGCAATTGCAAAAGAAAGATTATGCAAAAGCCATATGCTGTATACACTGCGTGGAAACAATATGGCTTGAGGAAAGAGTGTGCTGTGGCAATTCTTATTGAAAGCTCGCAGCAAAAAAACGTGTCCCTCTATTGCCCCTTAGGCCTGCAAGCCTAGTGCCTCCCTGACTTCGTACAGTGCGACAAAGAAATTCACGATGCGAAAATTGATCAAACCCGCTTGCACAGTTGTGTTGCGCTGTACGCTCCTCACCGGCGATATAAGGGGATCTCATCTCGGACTCTAAGGCCCCCATTAACATTGGCAGAGTGAATACAAGAGTCTTGCCACTACCTGTGAAAGCAATGCCAATCAAATCCCTTCCTTGCAGTAGTGCCGGTATGCCCTGAGAGCCTCGCATGACGATGCACGTGCCTAGGCTTGCAAAGTGTACATCATTTCTTGCTTAAACACACGTTCTTTCATATTTACAAGACGGTAGCTCATGAAGTTTCTTCCCCACAGAACTCAGCTACACTTCTTTGATCGAGTCTCTCACTTGCATCTGAATTTGGGTAGGTGCCGTGATATTTTTCTTCTTCAAGGCATCCAGAATCGGCTGCGGAAAGCACATGTCTTTGAAGTTTCGGAATGGAGGTGGCACATCGGTCCCGTTAACGTCAACAAAGAAACGCTCCCGAACTTCTTTTGCTTCCGCTTCCGTCATTTCACGGTACTTTGAAGGCATTGTCCAAGAGGTGGCCATTCTCTTGGAATAGACGATTCCCTTCGCTCGCTCTCTAACGCCTTGCAGTGGGGCTCCCAGTGACTTCGATACCTGCATTTCGCAAGGGCACACCATCAAACACAGAACTTATGCACGCACGGTCGAGGTCCCAGTCGTACTGTTCCTAACCAACTCATGCTTAAGCGGCAGATGAATAATAGTGACAGATTCAGGCTAATATGTAAGCTCTGTTCATGCCTGTTCGAGGATGCGCTGCTCTTCTTCCTCAATTTCCTGCACAACATCCTTTTTGTTCTTTTCTGCTTCTTGACGCAACTTCCGGCTCGTAGCAAGGAGCGTCTTCCTAAAGTCAAGGCGGGCTTTTGAAATGGCTGCACACATCAGGGGATCTCAGATCATTGATTGTCTCCACATAAGGGGTCAGCTCACTCCACTAAAAGTCTGCTCACAGCAGCGACAGATCAAGCACAACTACTGCCTGACTGCTAACCTGCTTCTTTCTGCTTCGCTTCCCTCTGTTTGGCCTCCTCATCTAGTTCAGATCCACTAAGATCCGGTGCCCCCTCCTCCACCTCCAAATGAGCATTAAGTGCCTGTAATTGTTTTTTCAAAAGTTTCTCGCGTATTGCTTTACGTTTCTTAAGCGGGACGTACTCCGTAGCCCCTGCAGCCTCTGTTTCCTCCAGCAGCTGCTGTAACAGGGAGACATCTTCCTCTATTTGAGCTCGTGCTCGTTTGCTAGCTGCCGCTCCCGCAGTGGAGTGTCCAGCGTCCTGATGATCTGGGGCAACGGCAGGAGTATGCAGGGCATCTGCAGTACTTGTGTCCCCTCCAGGAGAAGAGGCGGGCGCCGCGGTTGCCGTTGTCTCACTAAAATGGTTCTCCACGGTCCCCATATTAGAAGAGACGAGGCACTGCGGTGGAACAGTTGATCCCCTCACGGCCTCGTCTTCAACTACCAGTAGGCTACGACACTTCGGTAGGCAGCGTTCTGTGACAGTAGCACTTTCTCCCGAAGGCAACTTCACTCATTAGTCTGGTTTCTTGGCTTAGGGCTGAATTAACAAATAAAACTCAGCCTAAAAGGAGCTCCACAAGACTCATTAGCGGGTGGCGCAGCAAAGGCTGTTGATCTGCTTGGTCTGTGTATTAAGGCGGAGTAGCTGCCTTTGCAGAGTACCCGTAAGTAAGCGCACAAAAAGCCTTAGAGAAACGATAAGGCGCTTATGCATAGGCGCCTCGTAATTTATTTTACATGTCGCATTCTCAGCTTGAGTGCATGCAAGCCCCAACGAATGCAATATCCATCGAGGCCCAATCTGCACAGAGTAATGCGTCGGGCTGCTCCTACACAGCAAAACGATACGCGCAAAGCCATAACTTGATGCTGATTCAGCTCATGATAAGAAATTTGCAACAACAAAACCTTGCGTTGCTGCCACTAGAAGCATTGGTGCGAAATGATGGTGAGTTGCAGATAGATGGTGTTGGATGTTGGGTGTTGAGGAGAGTAATTCCTTCCACCGGATGGCCTTCCACTATTGAATCACAGTCCCGATTGACTGGCTGGTTTTCAACTGACACGCAGCACAATACTGGGAGCCGGAGCAACGGTCAGTTGCATCCGTGCAAGCTACACTTCTCACCCTAATGTTCTAGTCAGCTCGCTCTCTAGCTCCTCTACCACTGTTCGTTTAAGGCACTCCTGCATCTTTAGTTTCTGCATAGGCTTCAAGCTGCTTGAATATGAAGGCGACGTCTTTTTCCACGGCTCCTCAGCGAGGTTCCGCATGTCCGTAAACCAAAGTGTCATCCTGTAGCTCAGCATTTTTACTGTCCTTTGTGGCAGCTAGCGAGAATAACGTAGGCAGATACTAAGTCTATGGTTTGTCTTTTCTCTTTTCCGGATTCCATGGCGGGTGCTTCGGAGCTGTTTACTTCTGCTTTGGCGGAGGACTGAAGCGCAGTGAACTTTGCTTGGTGCAGGAATCCTCATAGACTGTCTATCTCAGCATATGCCTCCTCGACGACGAAGTTACAGGTGAGATTAACGCCAACGAGGGAAAACACAGCATGGTGTGTATTGGGCTAAACGGGAGAAAAGCTCAGATTCAGCAATTGCTTCCCTAGACCTATGGGTGATATCCATGAAGGCCAATGTGCCAAAGGCCGTTGGTGAAGCCTGCAGTTTCGACTTTCCACGGACTAGTCCTCCTGTGTCCCCTTTCCCTATAAACTATCAAAACTTTCTTATTCTTCAGCGAAGATCTGCAACACTGGAACCTCTCTTACCAGCAGCTTCATAAAAATAATCGACTGCGCACCAAAAGAGGCGAAAGAGAGTACACGCCAACAACTAGAATTTCGCTGGCACAAGGCCCGCCTATGACGATAATCCGGCAAAGGCAGACTGGCTCTCCACGCCAAACGCCGCCATCTTCAACTGTCTCACTGAGCTGTAAACAAGACGCTCCCACATTCCTTTGAAGGCAGCCATATCCAATCACTTTCATCAATAGGTTTTGGCCAGCTATTTCATTACAGCATATTCAGTAACTGAGGCATACATTCGGCAAAATTCCTGCTCTGCGTATCATAGATAAGAAACAGCCGTGAGTAAGAATATCAAACAGTTTGAACCGGCCAGCACAACTAAGTGTGGACCTTTCGAACTATCGTTGGAAATGTCTGCTGACTCTGAATATTAGTACCCCACAGTGAACAAATATCCAGACAATGGGCTCCGCCCTTGGCTTCGCTCTTTCCGGATTTGGTTGAGTACTACCTCTGCTTTAGGTCCTAACGGTCTCTTCTTAAGCAAGTGCACAAGTGCTACGTTGAAGCATGTTGATGCATTAATCATAATCCTCTGATGCTGCAGCTTCACAGACTGTCGGACAGCCAGGGATCATTTCAGTATCTTTGGCATACGGTGGTTCGGCACAGTCTTTGCTGTTATATGGCGGAGATTTCTTCCGCCAAGTCCTGAAATGTCATTAAGGCTGCCCTAGAAGACATAGATTGCTCAGAGACTAGGCCACTTTTCTGGACAACCTAGAAAAGTAATATGAAGCTGAAACACAAAAAATAGTTGCGTACTCTAGGAAGGGCACTAACTTCTCCAGCATGTATAACGCGCATGACGTACTATGAGAAGCTAACATGAAAGAAACGTCCGATGATGGGCTGGGCACGAACAGTGGCGTGCTTCCCTTTGAGTTACTATGTACAAGAGCATCTAAGGGTGAAGAGGCTATAGCGGAGACGGGCTGCGCAGGTGTGAGAACCACCTGAAACAGCAAGAGACAAACAAGACGTCGAAAGCCCAAGTCGCGTGTTGAATAGTAGACGAGGATGGCTTCCAGTTGAGAAGCGAACACGCGGCACTGCCATGTGCAGCATGTGCCATTCGAGTAGCTATTTTAATATTCGTATCGAGGGTGTTTTGGGCAGAGTGAGTTTTAGCGTACGTGTAGTGCACAGCACCTACTGCTGCGACTACGCTGCTACCTGCCCACTCGAGTAGGGGCCTATGATAACCGTCTACCTTCGGCGCATTTCCTTAAAACAGTACTCCAAATATCACGAAATGCAGTTATTTATAGTTTTTCAACGTCTGTTCTCTTGACAATCTCTCTTGAAAATCCCTCCCACTCGGTGTTCTCGCCTCCTAGGCCCTGTGGGGAGGAGGCCTGCACCGGTGCCGGCACTATCGCCAGCCCCAATCTCCACGTATTTACAGGCATGTCTAGTGTATGCATGCTAATTCGCGGACAAATTGCCTTACATCGATCCTAGTAAGAGGGTCCTGTCCTCGTTGGGCGTTATGGCCTCTTGGAGGTCGCCAGCTAGCTATCTTCTATAGGTCCCCAGCAAGCCCTAATCTAGTGCCTGCACTACAGTACAGGCCCCGATACAGTGGATTTGGACCCAGAATGCTGTGCCCGCCGACAGCGGCCTCAGAAGCAGCTTTGGTTGGCTGCATTAGCGAAACTGAAAGAACAGCAGTTCGTGCTATGTCAAACTAGGAGGAGGACGGGATGGCCGTTGAGGCTCTTCCCCAGAGGAAGCAACGCTCTGGCTGGCAGGACTGTGTGCACTCCGCTGTACGCTTTTGGCTGCATTTTTGAAAAACAGCAAATTCGTTTAGCTATATCTCCTTTGTCTAACGAGATTAGCAGTGTTACGTCCTGTTGAGCCTGTTGAACCGGCAGAGCGGCAGTGTCAAGCTAGTTGTTCAGGGTTCCTTGTCACCGCATAGGTAATTAGGCTAATTCTGAAGAAAAAGCATCACTTTGAAAATCGCTTGGGGCCACAAACTGTTTTGCGATAATGTGCTGGTGAACTCATGGCTGTTGTTGCTTCCCTCTTCAAAAGCATTCGGAGGGCTGAGGAATCTTCACTTGCTTTTACGGGCGCAGCATAGCATGAGGAATCGCTGGCTTCGACACCCCTCCAATCATCACCCACAGCTGGCATTTAGTCAAGAGCATTGTGAGCACATTTTCTATACTATCGAAGTAATTATATCTGCCCGTGTTTAAGCGCGCGGATCGTTGCAGTTCCAGCGACCATAGTAGTTAGCGCACTATTAGTTAGGGTCTCTTCTGTGTCCAAATTTGGAACAACTCCCTGAACATTTGTCAGTGTGAAGGGTTCAAAGCTTCTCTACAGCGACTTTGTCTTGCCTGGTTCGTCATGGGCACCATCTGAAAAACCATCTGACCGATTATTTTATAGTGGCTTAGAGTAGCATCAATGCCACTCAGTTTGTTTCTAGCATGTAAATAAAGTGACGAGAGGAGGTTTCTGAACCCTTTATCTTCCAAATACTCAGAATGGCCTCGTCTAGCCCCTGAAGTGTACGCCGACGCTTGTCATGCTATTAGTAGATAGGGTCTCTTCTGTGCCCAGATTTGCAACAACTCCCTGAATATTTGTCAGTGTGAAGGGTTCAGAGCTTCTGTCTTGCCTGCACTAAAAAACGCCAATACCAAAATGCAGCAATGGGCCAACTTCTATGAAAGACAAGACTAGAGCAATTCAGAGACAAGCCGAAATGATTCGCGACTTGGGCCACAGCTCGATTAAACTTGGAAAGAAGGAAGCTAACCATAGAAAATGGCTTACTAGACCATCATGCATTTTCAGTGTGAACCTGTCCCAGAAACCCTTGGGGTAAATGAGCAACTGCTCACAAAAATACAGACAGTGAGCGAATAAATACCTACTTAGGTGCAAATTTGCGAGTATGAGGAAGGAGCTTTCCACCGATGAGTGCCACTAACGCTTTCGCATCACTCTCGAGCTTGAGCTACTTGCCTTGTTATCTGACGCAACGAAAGCCTAGCATGAACTAAGAAGGCAAAGTTTACAAGCTGGCATTTGCCGAAACAAGTGGACATCGGACCGAAATATGCATGAACAACCAGGTGAACTAAACATTGCCACCCTAAAACCTGTATACTCTGTTGAAAACGAAATGCGCGATGTGCATGCACAAGATACAAGCACATTTTCGTTTTTCTCTTCAAGGCTGGTGAAGCTCCTACACAAGAAGCGCAACATAAGAAGTTCCAGGAACACTTAGGGGGCCTTCTACATTCTATTCAGCACAGTATTGCATACAAAAGGGATAAGCGCAACGGCCGAGACAGGCAAATGCAATGCGCAAGCCTCCCCAATAGACTGGGACAGCTGTAGTCAAAGATGAATAGAGGCATCGAGTACACAAGCTATCTTTGGCAGCGCAAATGCCAGAGCGTATTGAAACCATACAAAAAACGATTGGTCAGGTTACGTTTTTGTTTTTCGTATAGATACTTGTTGCCTACACTTTGGGAGCCTGATCAATTCACAGAGTGGCCACAGGATGATTCATTATGACTCATTATGT